GCTTGACAGTCTTCCAGCCACATTTTGATAAAAACTGTTCTAACAGTCAACAGTTTAAATATAAAACATTTCCACATATTTGGGTTGTTGGAGTACGACAGGAACGCCCCTAGGTTCAAGCCTCTTTTCTGAAGTGTCGCAACATTCATTTCCCCCCCCCGGTACGTTCTGGTGAGAATCTTTGTCTTCCTGTGGCCTCCACTGGGAAGCTGAGACCACAGTTTCAGCTCTCAGGGACTGTGATGCATGGACCCCAAACCCCAGATGTCCCAAGCACCAGGCCACCCTGTAACCCACAGTGGGACCATCCTCCATCCCCTGCTGAAACTGGGCCACTCCGCAGGATTCACAAGGCCAGAGGAAAACATGTAAGATGAAGGCAGAGGCTGTAACCTCACACTGGGGACTCTCCATTGGATGCTGGCTCCACTCTCAAAGCTTTTTATGCATTTTCAGTTATTTCTGCATGTAAAATGCATTACACTTGGGCAACTCAGGCATCTAATAAAGAGCCTGAATACCTCCCTCTGTCTCATCTCTAGATACAAACTGGACTTAGCAGTGCTCTCCTTCCCCATGGGCAGCAGCAGGAGGATTGTGAGCTTAAATACAAAAAATGAGAGCAAGCTAAGTGAATACTAATGAGGGAACTATTATCAAGAAGTGTGTGTCATCCAGAAATCCCAACTCCTATGATTGATCTACCGACTACAACAATGCTAATAAGTTGTGCAATGAACTGGTGACATGCTGGGAAACTGGGATTGTATCTCCTAGGAACAACCAAATGACAATACCTTTATTCTCTCGAGTGAGGACAGGAGTATCAGCACATCTGGCTCTTGATCTTTCCTATCACTAAGGCATCAATCATCCCACGAATCAAAACATGGAAACAACAGAAAGCCCAGCCAGGATGTGGTAATTTGCTTTTTGAGCACGTGACAATGTAACATCTACGACAGAGAGTACTTCGAGAGAAATATGAACAGCACAGTTACAACTGCTAGTGGAAGAGGGATTTGTGCTCTCAATATGCAGCAAACTTATCTTGCTATACACCTGAGAACCCAGTGACAGCATGGCACAAAATTAACAGGTGGAAATGGAAGTAATTCTGAGTAACTTCTGTTTTGAAAGGTCTTTACATTTCCAGACTAGGCTGTTCTAGTCTTTCATTTATTTTTGGTGTGAAAAGTATACCCAGCAGACTTGTAGGTGACTGTCAGTAACACACAGCCAGCTCTCAGCTGTCTCGCATGAGAAGGAATGGATTCCTATATTAATGTGTCTTTAACTAAGGCAGCAACAGAGGACAGCAGCTCTCAAAAGCCCCAGAAAAGATGCAACCAACCTTGGTGAACTGGTGGACGATGATGTGCAGGCAGTGCCTCTTCATGTCTAGGGCCTGGGTCTTGTCAGCTGCCTCTAAAATCTAAAGCAAAAGCAACAATGTGATTTTCCTTTCGCGTAGCTCAGACGTACGGTGCACAAACACTGCTGTGACTCAGAGGAGGTAATTCCTCTGAACCAGGGAAACACCTCCATTTTTCATTACAAACCAGAATCTTTTCTCAAGTATTCAAAAATAAACCTTGGATTTAAAATGTATGGAGTCCTCAGGAGATAATCAGTGGGAAACTGCAGATCTGTTCCAGAGCCAGGTTCCCTGAAGTGCTCCAGCGAGACTGGCAAGAGCCAAAAGCAGTTAATGCTGGAATTGATTCTGCTCATGCTGCAGAGGGTTTGGTCTGCCTACCTAGTAGATGGCATTGTAGGCTTTCTTGTCACAGAACATCTTTTGTTAGGTTCATTGCCAGATCCTGCCAGTATTACTGATAAAACGAGACCAATGTCACCTGCACATCACTGTTCACCCTGGCATAAACGTGTACTGAAAAAGAGTTTGGAGGGCTGAGCACATGATACATCTTAAAAAGTCCTTTAGAAACACTGGTCTGCAATGGGGGATGAGGAGCTTAGGAGGAACATCCAGCTGAGCAGTATCTGCTTACACACTTCAGCACAGGAGCACTGCCGACACAGAAAGCAGAAGAGGAAACGAGGCTGAAGGCTGCGCTCCTACACGGGCCTTAACCCTGCAGGACCACTGGCATCAGAAGGGTTTGGGCAGCCTCAGTGGGTGTCAGTTTGGAAGCAAATCAGCGAACCTGGCCCTGGGAGTACCCACTGGACCCTCTGGCCTTCCCAGATCTAAGTCAAGTGACTAATTAAAGCTGCCTGGGGACAGTTACCTGGAGTACATTCTCCACCGTGACATTCATTTCTAGATTCTGCTTACAGTAGGCTTGTAGTCTGTTGTTGGAGAAGCCGTAATAGTAAGGTGCAGCAAAGAGGTAGCTATTCATCTCATTAAGGAAAAAAAAGGTAAAGCAAAGGTAACAGCACTGCTTGTAAATATGAATCAATGGCAGAAGTTTAAATTCAGCGCCTGTTAACGCAACCCTGACAAAAAATCCTCCCAGGTTGCATCTGGCAATCTAGAGCTAAAGGAAGGAGAGCTGCTTTAGAATTTAAGGATACAGGGAGTCTTCAGGAGGCATGTTTACTTCTCCATAATAAATGTACCTAAGCATAGATTCAAATGCTTGCTTACTGGGAACCATTTCACCTATAGAAATATTCACTTGCCCATCTTCTGGCATGAAGGAACGAAACATGGCTTCAAAGTAACTGGAAAAGGAAATAAAACTGATGTAACACATTCTGCAGAGAGATGGTTTAACCCAGTATTGTTCCAAGGCTACTATTAAGCACTGCAGCTTCCAAAGAAGCAAATTCAGGTGACAATCCAGGCAGAAACACTGCTAAATTACAGTTTCATATATGTCTGCTTGCCCGTGAGAGAGCTCCAAATATCCATATATCCCTAATTTTTATCTGCACTACCTGAAATTCAGCTCTGTTTCTTGGAAACTAGGACACATGGTGCTTTGATTTTCGTTTAATTTGCATAAGACCCAGTAGAGAGCTTAAAGCATTATGAATTTCCTTGGTATCTACAGGCTGTCAATCATGCAGGGTTGTTTTAAGAGCTGTGAAATGCTTCTGGTAAAATACCACGGTAACTAATACTGAATATTATTACTGGGACTGGAAAAAAAATTGGGACAGTATTTGAAATAGAAATTTTATGTGAACACTTAATATTTGGCAGAGCATAAAGGTGCAGGTACAGAGAACACACAAGTGGACAAACCCACTTCACCCATGTGCTGAGGAGGGAGAATAGTGCCCATCTTCAGCAGGGTGAACTACTTGCCTCTGCAACAAAGTACAGGAACAATCTAGTCTCTGTTATGCACCTTTCTTTGTTATCCTTATTCATACTCAGTTTTAAATATCAGCAAGTGAGAAAGAGATTCAAGTTTCACATGATTCAAGATGGATGTTCACCGTCAGAAGACTCCTCCTGACCTCGGTGGACATCTGTTGCTTTCTACTTCACTGACACCACCTTATGTTTTACACCCTTTTCCCCTTCCTATGATTTTACAGATTCTTTGTCTTGCAGTGCAGTTTCTTCCACATCCTCTAGAGAATCTCTACAGTTTTAATTTCCTCCGATCTTTCCCTGCTGGGTATCAAATTGAAAAAAAATATTTAAGCATTGTTGCTTAAAGGCTTATTACACTCATTGAGCAAAGCTGCTGATACAGTTCCTCCCCAACTTCTAAAAAAAGCAAGCTGACCCAGATTGTACAGCGCTGCTTTTTACACACACGATATTTGTTATAGTTTTAGTAAACAGGAACTCACCTGGAGCGGGCTGCTAGGATTGCTTTATGGGCTGGCCGGGGGTGCCCATCCAAGAGAAGGATGATATCACAGAATTCAGTCCCGGCTCCTTCTAGGTAAGCCTTCATGTCCTGAATTAAAGATGTTCCTGAAAGTTAACATAATGAAATAATTAAAGACATGATAGTTCCACATCACCAGGTACTACCAAATTAATGTACGGTCAAGCCATAGCTCCAGCCCCTCTTTCCTTTGGGACCCCTGGGGTGAGTTTGAGGAAGGCCCTTCCACATAATTTTGGAACAAAATGAGCTTTGTCCTTCCCCGTCACAATCCATTACCTACTGCCCATCCCAGAAACAATCCTGCCAGCTCTGCTTTCAAACCGCTGGCAGCAAACACTGGCAGTGGCCACACTGAAAGGTGTTCTCTATAAAGAAAACTGATTCTTCCCTGCCCTCTTCCTTACTTCCAACCACCAGAAGTATAAAATTTTGTTTCTTAATGAAAAAGCTTTCCCAGATCCTCAATAAGGGCTTCTTTTATCCTACCTTTTAATTAACGTTTGAAAATACACAATAACTGAGAAACAGAGCGCATTCAAGTCTGATCCAAATTCACTCATATTTGCAGAGTTCATCTTTCAGTTTTTTGATGTTTGGGTCTCTTGCACCATTCCAGCTCTGCATATAGACGCTGGCTACGCCATCTTGCTGGACAGTGCCCCCTCTTCTCCCTGGGAGGATGCCAGCCAGTTTGTACATGACCTTCCAGGACTGGCTTCTCCACCCTTCTCTCCAGTCCCCAATTATTTTTGTGCAGTATTCCAAATCAACACTGTCAATGCATCTGAACTTTGCGGCGTCAGCAAATTTCACTATTACATTTGCTTTTTTTGTGTGTCAGGATGATAAAATCTTGAATAAGACTAGTCCCAAATCAGTCCTTGATGAATTCTGTAATAGAATTGTAAATCAAATCATCCAGCACAATCACAGAATGAAAATAAAAGGCAGGACCATTAGTGCAGGTTATTTATCTTCTCAAAGAATCGGGGTACTTTATTGCAAGATGGACACGACTATATTTAACATGACCTTTCATGTATTTTGGTGGGAATACTGCTCTGATAGAAGCTCAGTGGAAAAAGAACTGGCATGTCCTGTCTTAGTCTGGGCAACAGCCTAAGCACAGTTATACCAACCAGAGAATCAGTGGTCTACTTCCTAGGCTGTTTCCTAGAGTAAATAAACCATTAGCAATGCAAAACCAGCAGAACTCTTTACTTTTAAAGCATAAAAGTTACCGATGTCAAGTGGCTGATCAGAATGTGTTCGAACAGGAGGTTGCTGTTTCCTCCGTACAATCTCCACTATGAGGGATGAAGAAAGATGCTCAAACTCCTTCATCATTATTACTTGATTAAAATGTGATTCCTTCACCACAAAGTTCAGGCAATGTTCCTTAAAAAAAAATTAATAAAAAACTTACGGTTTACTGTATGAAGTCACCCTACACCACCACGTAAATGTTACCATGTCACATGTGTAAACACCCACCCTTTTCTTACAACCCTCCACATGGAACCTGCAGCTGGAACTATCAATGACTTCCTTACTAAGTGACCATTTAGGCTCCTAGTTGAGCAGGAAATTCAGGACAACTCTAAGCATCTAAAAAAATCTGACTAAGAAATAAGAAAAAGATTGTTTCCCATTTAGCTGCTCTGAAGCTTTCTAAAATAGGAATCTCAGGAGATGCCAAAAACCTCATGGAGCTAACTAAGATTGGCTGCTATCTCACAATAATTTATACAATTATTTACCGAAGGGTAATTATGAGGGTGAAGAGATCTCTTAACACTATCCATTAAGGGTAAAAATAGCTTGCAGGATTTCCTTGCGTGGATTTTGTCTTAACCTTTTCTGTAAAGGTTGCAAACAGTCTGAAAGAGCCTTGTAGGTTCTGTATGACAGACTTGCTAGAAAAATCAATGTGATGGAACGGTGACAAATGAACCAGACCTAATGCTGAACAGTTAAAGGGACAAAAAATGGCACTTCATTTGCCAGTGTGAAACAAGGCTTTCCCTCAGGACACTTTAATAAGCCAAAAATATAATGTATACCAGCTCACCATGAGGTGAGTACAAAATTCACCCAAATAATAATTACTACTGTCCATTTTCTGCCAAGTTATTTCACCTGGGATCCAAAGGGATCTGTCGAGGACCCATCTGTAAAATGTTTTAAACAATGACTAGGATGCTAGAAAGAGCAGCCTTCTGCAGATGGCATCTACACATGAGGACTAACATGCACTTGAGAAGACAGGACACCAACCCAAGGTGATCCTGAGCAAATGGGAGTTGTGTGGAGGTGCCCGTCACCCTGATACCCAGTAGCCAAGGCAGGTGGGCACAGCTGGCTGATCTGAGATTACTGGCACTAGATCCACCAGTGCCAAGACATTTGCTTGAGTTTCAGAGCAGCTAATGGCTCCGTGGTCCTACGCACCAAAGCCTGTGCCAGCATTTACGTATTTGCTGCTGCCCTCCCTAATGCCTGTCCTTTGCCCAAACCCAGTGCATGAAGGGTGCCTGAGGAAGTGCTGGTGCATACTGGTTTCTCCAGGCTCACTGCTCACAGCTACACAGCCAACAGGCTGCTCAAACAGGCATTGCATGAGCTCACACCGAGGCTTGGACTGGGGAGGAAGAGCTGCTTCCCTGCAGCTTTAAGTTCTCACCACTGTAGGTGGGAACCAGACCATCACAGCGAATCATGCTCTGAAGCCTGGGGGTATCAACCCTACCACGACTTTCAGCAAACGCCTAAAAGCCCTTGACCCACTACAGAGACAGAGAATCGCAGACACATTTTGGTTTCCAGTAGAGTGTTTTTCAGATCAAAGCATGAGAACAGAGTTTAGTTTTTTCAGACCAGGTGAAAGAACCTGTTTGCAGTCTCCATAAGGGACCAGAAAATGCACTGGTTTCATCTTGCTGCAGTGAACTGATGAAGAGCCAAAGTCACTCTGCCCTTTACATCCTACAGGACAGATATGCAAAAATATCAAACACTTAGTGAAAAAAACCCTACATAATATTCATGAGCAACTGCAGGACAATCCACACTAACATATACTCAAGGAACTATAATTATAAGAAAGAAATGAATTTGCAAAAGCTGATAAAAGCTGATAGCTTTTGCAAATCATTAATTACATTCATCTTGTTTTTTTAAATTTCTTATCAGTTACTTTGTATGCAAAATGTGATTACCTTTAGCTGATCCAGCTGAAGCTTGTTAGCATTTTCACACACAATGAGCACATTCTGCAGATCTACGGATGCTTCAATATATTGAAGACAGAGCTGTTCCAGTCGAGAGAGCTTGAAGTTTAAGGCTAGTTTGTATACATCCATAATAAGTAACACATCCTGCACATGACCTGAAATTACAAGAGATAAAAATGCTGGAGAGCTCACAGAACAAAAAGAGGAACCCTTCTCAAGGTATTTCTTTTTACAACAACCTGAGCATTTGGAATGGTAGAATCAGCAGTGACTGGAGAATTTTTATGGAGAAAAAAAATCCACTGCTGGTTAAACAAAATCTGAACCGATACTGAAAAAGGAGTTTCAAAACTGAGGCATGAAACAGCCACCCCAAAAAATTTTTTGGACAAAGATTTTTTGACACTCTGGATGACAATTTTTTAAATCCCTCAAAAGGAAGTGAAGTCTCTAGAAACACTGACAAGCTCTGAAGCTAGCAGCTCAATTTTCCAAAGTGCTCAGCTGCTAACAGCCCTGCTAAAGTCCTTGGGTTTTATGCAGTATTAGCAATCATCTCCCTAATTTTGCCAGACCCTTATGCAGGCACTCTGTGCTTGTGCATGCACAGATCTGAGCTGGTCTAGAAGAGAGGGCTGAAGTAAGGGAGGGACAGTGGGGACCCTAGTAAGCCACTGCAGTGGGGCTGCGGGGACACCAACTCAAGGAATAATTCACAGCCTCTGCTTTCCTCACAGGAGATCTCTGGCCATCTGCTGTAACTACTTTTTGATAGAGAAAAGCCTTCTTGCATGTTCATGCCTTCCCTGTGTCTAATTGAACAATCCCATTTGATAAGCATGCCCAATGCTATTAGCTCAGCCTCTGGATGGATCCCCAAGGTGCTGCTCTCTGGACTGAGAGAAGTAATGAGGAATGCAAATCACAGAATCACACAATCATCTTGGTTAGAAAAGCCCTTGAAGCTCCTCCAGTGCCACCATAAACCTCACCCTGACCGTTCCCAACTCCCCCAGATCCCTCAGCGCTGGCTCAGCCCGACTCTTCAACCCCCCCAGGGATGGGGACTCCCCCCCTGCCCTGGGCAGCCCATTCCAACGCCCAACAGCCCCTTCTGCACAGAAATCCTTCCTCAGAGCCAGCCTGACCCTGCCCTGGGCAGCTTGAGGCCATTCCCTCGGGGCCTGGCACTGGGGCCTTGGCTCCAGAGACTCATCCCCCCTCTCTGCCCCCTCCTGGCAGGGAGTTGCAGAGGGCCAGGAGGTCTCCCCTCAGCCTCCTCTTCTCCAGACTGAACCCCCCCAGGTCCCCCAGCTGCTCCCCAGCAGACCTGTGCTCCAGACCCTGCCCCAGCTCCGTTGCCCTTCTCTGGCCACGCTCGAGTCACTCAATGGCCTTTTGGGGTGAGGGGCCCAAAACTGAACCCACTCAGCGAGGGGTGGCCTCACCAGTGCCCAGCACAGGGCTCAGATCCCTTCCCTGTCCCTGCTGGCCACGCCAGTGCTGACACAAGCCAGGATGCCATTGGCCTTCTTGGCCCCCTGGGCACACTGCTGGCTCATTATCAGTCCCCCCCAGGTCCCTCTCTGACTGGCAGCTCTCCAGCCACTCCTCCCCAGGCCTGTAGCCCTGCTGGGGGTTGTTGTGGCCCAAGGGCAGCCCCCGGCATTTGCCCTCAGTGAAACTCCACCAGTTGGCCTCAGCCCATCGCTCCAGCCTGGCCAGGTCTCTCTGCAGAGCCTCCCTACCCTCGAGCAGATCAACACTCCCACCCAACTGGGTGTCATCCACAAACTGACTGAGGGTGCACTTGATGGTCAGGACAGGGTCACTGGAGGATGCTGGCAGAAAGGTAAGCACCAGGGAGGACGTCTGATGGGCTGGGGGAAGGGTAGCAGGCTGCCTGGGCAGGCTGTAACAAAGGAGAGAGCTCAGTACAATAACCCTTTCCTTGGTCTGATCCTGTCCTGGAGTAAACATGCTGAGGAGGATCTGGCGATGTCAGCAGACACCAGTGAGGAGGCTCCCTTGCCCCCATTAATGAGGCTTGCTCTCAGGTCACCTTGCAGGGAAAGCCTTGGGACAACTGCATACAAATCCATATTTCCCTGAGAATTACCTGTGATAGTAAGGAAGGATCCTGGACTGAAGCTGAAGCAATTCAGCGTTAGGACAGATTTACCTCACCTTACCTGACTGGGCCAGGTAGCTACAGCTCCCCCAGACCCACCAGCTGGAGTTCCCGGTGCCCCCAGTCAGACTCCTCAGAGCCCAGCTGACCTCAGCACTCAATGACTTAGGTTTGCTGTGTGGGAGCTGAGAGATCTCTGGCTATTACCTGCCAGCCTGCAAGTGTTTTCAATTTGGGGATCTTCCATGAATACATCAAATGGATTTTTCCTTTCTTGAGGCAGTCCTTTACATTGTCATTTTGGAGATAGGATAAATACCATCTTGCTCTGCCTTTTTATGTGGGCTGTTTGCAACAGATCAAAACAATACCAGAAAAGGGAAATAAGCCAACCCAGGATACATGGTCCTTCTAGGCAGGCCACTGTAATGTTCAAAACATCATGAAAATTTTGTTTGTTTGGGTTTGGTTTTTTTTTTTTTACACCTTTCAGAGCGATCAAGAACCTGCTTTTCCTTGACGTTTGAACAGAATTAGGAAAAACCAAAGCACTGTTAGTATGCATTAATAGAAATCTGCTTTTCTTTTTAATCTCATGTAAGTAATTAAGTGCTTAGAGCAGGACTGATCATCTGCAAATGCTTGATCCTGCTCTGCATCAAAATAAATGTTTGCTTCCCAGTTGCTAGTATTTTTTTTATCCCACTGTCCTACCTTTGCGAGGGTATTTTATTTTATCTGTATACAGAAACTGCATGAGCACCTCGAAGGGTTGTGCCTCAGCCTCTCGGATGGGCACTTCCAGCAGCGGCTGCAGGCGGCACAACTTGACATTCCCACCAATCCCATCCTTCTGACATGTCGCATGTCCCTCATCTTCAATATCTTGCTTTGATTTCTAGTGAGACAGAAAAAACACTCAAGCATGGCGGCAAGGCTGTGTCAGCTCACACACATTACTAGCAAGCCTGAGAAAAGATCACTCTCACGACTGCGTGTTCTTCAACACCCAAGATCTCTTTATCTTCCAAGATTATCTTCAAGATAACACGGAATTCATGTCTTAGACTTACTGTTCCATACCCCACAACAAGCACAGATCAGAACAAATATGAGCTCCTGGATAAAGCTCAAAAGCAGCACCTCAGAAAAAGGAAGGAATTAATTCCACTGAGCTCATTTCTGCCCTCAGCAGGAACAGCATCCCTCCCTGGAGAAGGAAGATGTAAGGAGCAGGTTCCATGGACCCCTGCCTTGCAAAGTCTGAGCTCAAAGTGCTGCACAGAAGTATTTTAAGCCACTCACTTTCAAGTTTCACTTGGACAGCCTTTCCCTACAGCCTTTTCCAGTGAAGATGGGAGGGCTGTGGGGTGGCAAAGCAATTAACTAAGGGGCAATGAGGCATCTCTGTGTCTTACTGCAGGTTGTGTGCTAACACTTCCTCAAGAGCGATAAAATGTTTGCTGCTGTAAAGCTGTAATAGTTAAAATTAATAGACAATGAACCAGAGGTACCAAACTGTGGAAAAAGTCAGGAAATACTAAGGTAAAGGGAACAGAGCCAGCCTCAAAACCTTAACATTGCCTTCCCTCTAATCTGTCTAATCTTGCAGGCCGTCCCCGATGACAGGCAGCTTTTACACTCCCCAGGGGGAGGGCTACACACACCTCCCCAGGGGTACTCCACAAGATTAGAATTTAGGACAGCTACGAGAGCTCCCAAGAACCATACCGCCAAATCCAGATAACGGGATTAACTTTGGCTCCTCCACATTACACGCCTTGCCTGACCCAATATACATCCAGTGGCCTGTGCTAATACTAATTATCCTCTTCACTTTACTTGCCCAAGAGCACCTTAGCATCAGACGCTGCTCCAGTCCTACATCTGTCTCAGCAGATGATTCTTTTTTCCTGACAACCTTATTTCCAAAACTGAGCAGAATGAGCATTACCTTGCCACAAAATTACTTTTCTAAAATACTCACTTGTTTTAACCTCTCCCTTGCCTGTATGATTTTCTTTTTCAGCCACTTGCAGCGAGCTGTAACAATTGCAGTATGCCCTTGGACTCGTTCCTCCTTCTGTCAAATGCAAAGAAAGAATACATATTCAACTTTTATTCCCAAATCACACGATGATGGCAGATGGCAGAAGTCGTAGAAACCTGGGCTGAACTCCAGGTTACTATACATCTAGTTTAAGTTAGAATGAAAGGCAACCCTGCATCTGCTCTGCCCACAGAGATGAAATTCAACACCTATTTTCCCTCAAGGCTGATGGTAAACACTGTTTGGAAAGAGTTTCTGTTATGTTCACTGAGTGGAAGCCGTTGTGTAGGTTCAGTGTCAGAGATATTGCTTCTTACTGGTGCATGTGATTTACAGTTTAATTTTCTCTTTTGAAAACAACAGTATTTTTTTTGCTATTGTTATTCATAATCTACTCCATCTGTTGTTGAGGATCTGTTATCTGATCTCTGCAAAGTGTCTTACAACTTTTTCTTTGCAAAAGGAACGCAGATAAGTTCAAATTTCTCATGTTTTTCTTCAGAAAACATGTTCTTTTAAAAATTTTATAATTTTTAATTGATAATAATATTATAATATTTAATTGATAATAATAAAACATTAATAATATAATGTTTTAATTACTATATAATCATTCCCCTGTGCTGCTTTTTCTCATTCTATTTTGTTTCAGCAATTAAAAATGGCTCTTGAAATGATACATGGATCTGCAAACCAGTGGCTTGCTCCTTCCAAGAGATAGTTGGGACCTCTGAGTACAGAAGCCATTAGTATCATTTTCATATTATAGCTACATATAATATGCTCTGATAAATTCAGGTTATATCTCAGTGATCCACAGATCATCTCAGTTTTAAAGTTTCTTCTCCTTTGCAACATTAGAAATTTATCTGGATTAGTGTAACTTACTGAACCAGCAGACATCATTTTCACCAGTGACGCTGCTCTTAAAACTTCATTCCCAAGGTTTCTGGCACAATCACTGCACAATTTGCTCTTTCCCAGCAAACACACTACACACACAGTAACACCCCCGTTGGCACCTTTTCAACAAATTCTACTCACCTCTCCCAAAACAAACTCCAAGTCACTGAACTGTCTGTTTTCCCACAGCCTTCCATAGTCTTCATGTAGAGTGCATTTAGGGTAGCAAGAAAACTAAAAAAAATAAAACCCCACAGAAGACAGAATTAATTTCAAATGGCTATATCCAAAAGCACCACAGTTACCTATATGATCACTGAGTTTTCTTATTAACTCGACCTCAATGTAGCATATAAAGTAGAAAATAACAAGCAAACCAAACCGATGCAAGGGCTTCCTCTGTAGTGAGGGTAATGAAATATAAGACAAGGTAACATGGAAGAATTGTGTCTCATCACAACTTGCAGATTTCAGGAGTTGGTGGCCAGGAGTCTCACCTGTTCTCAGCACTTGTCTGAGGGTCCCATGCAAGAAAAATAAACTTGAGTGTAGTGGGGATTTGACCTGGTGTGAGTATCTTGAAATTTAAAATTCCCATAGTTACGGGGGGGTGGGAGTCAGAGTGCTGCATGAAGATAAAATGCAAAATGCTCTGACCCAGAAACCCTGCCCATGACAGTACTTGAAGAGGAACAGTCAATTTTCAGTTAAATATCATGACTAATCCTGTCTGATACACTTTTGAATAATTTGTTAAAATAAGTTGTCATGATCTCTGTTAGGACTTTAGAAGGTACTGGAGATCTTGGCCTTATAAAATGTCTGTCCCGATAATATATCTCAAAAGATTTTAAAGATATACGTTAATCTTTGGCAGCTCAATCTGAAATGCAAAGGCTGCCTGCAGGAAGGATGGGAAACAAAAGCCTTCAAGCTCACAATGAGCCAAACCAGAAACTCTGCCACGTCTGGAGACAGAGCCAGAGAGATTCACGCAGAATTGGTGCAGCTGTCTGAGCATGTTCATCAGTGAATTACCTGGAACCTGTACATTTCTCCACTTCTAATATTATTGTCCACCGTGCCACCAAAGATGTACATAGCATCTGAGATAACAGCAGCAGCATGGAAGAGTCTCCCACTGGGTAACTAGGGAAAGAAAAGGACAAAATAGGTGAGGGAATAAACAAAAAACTTTTTTTTTTTCCTCCCAAGAAATAGGACCTGCAACAGACCAACAGTGAGAAGGGAAAATCAATGTAGTCTGAAGTGACACAAACACCTGCATTCCAAGATTGACATTTATTATAATTTAGGGTTGTTTCCTAGAATATCTAAAAAATACTTTCCAGTCACATTTAAAAACACCTGTTCATTGCACCTTCTAACACAGGGCTCCACATATCATAGAATCAGAGAATCACACAATCATTAAGGTTGGAAAAGCCCTTTGGGATCATCGAGTCCAACCCTCAGCCCGATTCTTCAGAGTTCTCCCCTACCCCACATCCCCCCACAGCTCATCCAAACGGCCCTTAAACCCCCCCAGGGATGGGGACTCCCCCCTCCCTGGGCAGCCTGTTCCACTCTCTGACCACTCTTGCTGGGAAACATTTTCTCCTCCGGCTCACTCTGACCCTCCCCTGTTGCAGTTTCCAGCCGTTCCCTCTTGTTCTGTCCCTGATGCCCTGGGAGCAGAGCCCAGCCCCGGCCTCTCTGCAATGTCCTGTCAGGAGCTGCAGAGAGGGATGAGGGCTCCCCTCAGCCTTCTCCTCCTCCAACTCTTCAATTACAGTTACAAAAGATGTAATTTACCAAACTCATACTCAATGCTGAGTTTTACACAGAAAAATAAAATGCACTTCTAATACCCAGAAGATTCTGCAAATGTGACAACTACACAACTCCGAGCTCATTCTGAACGTTGTCATGAACTTGCAAGTGAAACGATCATCTGTCTCAGCAGGATACGAACTCCAGGCTTGTACACACACGCCTTCCCCACAGCTTGCTGGGGCTGAACCCTCTGGCCAGGGAGCCCCTCCAGCAGTGCCAGACTCTGCCCTGAAGCTCAAAGGTGGAGATGTTTACACCACAGAGCCAAGTCTCCTTTCTCCTATCATGTCAGGTCCACAGAAAATAAAGCCCCAGCTATTTACAGGGCTGAGGGATCACACCATTCCATGCAACAGACAGTTCGTCTTGGAATTCCAAAATCGGGTGATTTTTGAAGTGGGAAGGAGTCACTGCAAGCCAAAGCCACCGTGACCCTCCTGCATGGGACAGACACATCATTTGTACACATTTCTTCTGAGGTTACATAAAGGTATCTGATCAAATTAAGCACATCTCACTGAGATCTCACATAAAGTCTTCAAGTCGTGATTTGTAACTTTGTAACTTTTTTTTTTTTTCTCTAGTTGATCAGGCTTGTTCTGTCTTCCAGGCAGCAAATCTCATTAAATCTTTGCCTACAAAATAAAAAGCCCTCTGGTATAAGAAATCTTCTCTTCTTGTACATATTTATAGACACCACTCAAGTAAACTCAGACACGAAACAAGATTATCTTTATCTGGGGAGACATATTTTCCAGGAAACCATGCTGACTGGCATTTTTCATTACCACCGAATTATCCCTTTTACCACAGCATCACACAACGGTCTCATTTAGCTTGTTACTCACCAGACTTTCCATGACTTCTTCTTTTCTTCAGACTAAAGCTTTTAAGGATACAATCCCCCATGCAGTAACTAGGACCTGGTTGGGTTTTTTTTTTTTCCTCAGATGTACAACCCACAGATTTGGTCACCTTAAAATGCATGTTTGCCTGCGTCAGTTTAACAAGTCATCTAGATTCCTTTGGATAAACAAGGTACCTTCTGTCTCTGGCATACTTCAGGGATACTTTACCAAAAAAACTTTAAAGTTGGTGCTAATAAATACTGTGATGGGAAGATTATAGAATAATACTGATCTATTAGTACATTCCCACCAGGCCCCTGTTCAATACCTTTCCAAAAGAGGATAAGATTACTGTCAAATATAATCTATTTTATACAGCCTCTATTCACTCTTAGAAGTAATCTCATTAATTAAAACATACTGACTGAAAAAAAAAAAAAATCAAACATCATATAGGAGTTTAAAAATACATCACTGACCTTTATCAACTGGACCTCCAACCTCATCCCAAAAATATGAAGTTTGCTTGCCAAGACCTATTTCCACAAAACTAGATGGGCTGATATTAGCTGTATTGTAATATGTTTCTTCCAACTAACTCTCCAAACAACAACAACCCAAAAAAAGGTCTATTCTGTCAGAAATCAAATATAGGACACCTGGTTTATACTTATTCAGGTCAATTTCCCTGTCTTTTTTTAAAAACAAACATTATTTTAGTTTTGTTTTTAAATTAAATAATTCTCAATATTCTCTAGTATTGGTTCTTAAAAAGTAGACGCTGTATTTAACAAATATATTTTTTTCCACCAAAAAAAACTTACAGCATTTTAACAACTGGTGCCAGAAGGAAACATGAATCATCTGAACATTTAACCAAGTAACACCATTCTTGCTAGTCATATCATATTGAACTCAAATGATCTGTAAGGAACATTATAATGATGATTTTTAATTTGTAATGGTTGGTACCAGAGTGGTCAAGGAACCAGAGCTTTGCCACTTACTAATAACTTAAGCAATCAAACAATTCTACCCTTTAAATGCAGATATTGCATTTTTAAAGAGAGTAGCAAGTGAAGTCAACTATGAAAAGATAGCCCAGAAGAAGGAAGGCCATATACAGTTCATCAAAACATTGTGCAGCTGAGGGTTTCCGGGTATTTGTTTTGCTGAATCAGAACAGCAGAATTCAAGCCAGCACAAACGCTCACGTGGTGAGGGCAGCCCTGCCAAGCGCTGACATACAGATGCCACCGATGCCACCTTCAAGAAGAACAACGCTCTGCCCAACCAGGACCAAGGCTTTGGCCACAGAAAAACTTTGGTCCAGTGTAAACCAGGGGAGCTGGAGCCTCGAGAAGAAAATACTCAGATCGAAAAGGTTAATAGAGCTCAGGAGCATAAACAGCTGGAAAGGCATAAACAGCTGGAGAGACATGCTGAGCTCCACGTCCCTCATCCCCCAGTACCAGGTGCCAAAAGCCTGTCCTATCTCAAGTGTCTTGTTGGGAGACCTCCCAAGCTGCCAAATCCAGCTGCTGAATATATTCAACCCAGGTAGAGTTTATAAGGAACAGATATGAAACAACTATTTTGCTAGCCAGCATGGGATTTTGTGGAGGAAAAGAGCCCACGAGGGAATTCACAAAAACACACAAAACTCTGCCCTGCATGACAAATTCAGCAGTCCAGCACTGGGAGGCTGGTGTTACATGGTCTTGTTTTAAACACCAGAGAGAACAATCATCACTCTGCTCATTGTCCATGGACCTGTATTTCACAGAACATGTGCTGGTGAATCCATGCGGGTTGTCCTGCCTAAGGCTGAGCTAATTCAGGTCACTTATAACCTACCAGAAGAAATGAATCAGAGCTTCTTTTAAGCAGATATTTATATATCCTTGTCTACTGAGCAAAGTCATCCCCAGTACTAGTGCACACAGCCAAATCTCATTTGATAAAACTCCAAGAAGAGTTTTTTCAGTCAGTTCATGTTAAGGTGGGACAAGAATCAGTCTATAGTAGAGCAAACCTAAGACCTGAGAGGCCAGTATCAAGCACCACGGGGCTGCAAATCACAATTTCCTGCCAGAGCCTGAGACCAGGAACCCCGATTTTCAACACACAGTCACTCTACTACAAATAATTGTGTAGGTAGAAAAAGGTGCTCCATGTTTCCTCCTGTTCAAGCTATCCTTTCCTTGTTGCAATTTATCACATTAACTCTCATCCTCCCCACCAGAAACACAGAAGAAATTTTTTTTTTCCCTCCTTTTCACATGAACTGTTCCTGCATTTCAAAATGTCTGCTTCACCTCTCCTCTTCACTAGGCACCTCCAGCTCTTTCAGCTTTTCAGTGGGGTCATGTTTGCTGATTGCTCTTAGAGCTTTCCTATGGATTCTCCCAATGGTCTCCACATTTGTACTCCATCCATCTCCACAAGTAAAGGATGATTACTAGTTGCAGTTTATTAGAACCACCTTAGATAACAAGTCTATCACTCAAACGTACAGTGAGTCCCTGATCACAACACTATAAGCCAAGGTTACAGTTAGGAACTGCTGCTCCCAGAGAAACAAAGTCAGTGTAGGGCAAATGTGAAACTAAGCCTTTGTTTTGCAATGTAACACATTTACCCTCATTTCCTTCTTTTACAAGCACAGTGTAATCAAGTGTCCCACATCCTGCCTGAAACACAGGGATGTGCTGGTCATCCTCCTTCTACAGTTGGCAAAGATGCTCACAGAAACTGTGTTAATTTTCTGAGACCATAAAGACAGACTACAGCAATACCTGTACAGTATAACCAGTACTGTACAGTATAACCAGTACAGGTTTCTGCTGGCACAACTCCAGATGGTTGTGTGTGAATCCAAAGGGATTCTTGTCCTTCTCACTGCCAGGGCACATGAGAATGCTAAAAATCACAAACTAAGGTGTGCTGCCAGTCTGAATGTATTTGTCAGCTCTCAATCCTATACTTACCTCTCAATCAACACGATCTCCTTAATTTATCAGCAGTGCATGACAAAAAGATTCAATCCTGACACCTCTGCTGATCTGGGCTGGCACCCCTCTCTGAGATACACCGCCCTGTTTCATCTGTTGATGTGTTTTCTCTAATTAAGGTTCATGAGATTTGCAATCTGAGGCTCTTTTCAAGCCGGAATCTTTGCTTTCAAAAGCAGATCCCATCAGTCACCTTTGCTTCCCTTTCAGTACACCTTTCCACACTTCCGACATGATCGGAGCCATCAATTTCAAAATTCATGTATTTCAGAAGTCTTTTCCTTTTTTCCCATTTCTTGTGCTCAGACTCACTCCGTATCCTGTCTAGACAGCACAAATTGAGTTTGTCCTGTGATGTGCATCAGGGTTCTGATTTGACTTACAAACCTGTGCATTAGTGTTGCTTCTCCCTGTGCTAGAGTGCCTAGCAATCATTCAAATAGTTGAGATT